CCGGACGCGGCAAAGGCGGCGGCAACACGGCCCGGCCCGCCCCGCGCGAGAGGAAGCCCGCGGTGCCTGCCGGTTCGCCCCGGCGCTGCAGCGACCCCTCTGGCGCGGCGGATCCCGGGCGAGCCCTGGCGAGGCCTAGCGGGCTCTCGCGCCGGCCCGTCGCCTTGACGCCCAGGAGGACGCCTGGCGCCTTGGACTGCAATTCCCAGGATGCCTCGCCATTGGCCCGGGCCGACGGGGCCGACGGGAGTCGTAGTCGGCGAGCCTCTCGCGCTCCTTCGGGCCGGGGCGGGCGAGTGGCTGTTGGGCTCCGCCGGTTGCCAGCCCGGCCCCCGACGTCCGGCAGGAGAGGCGCTCCCGCGGCCCGTTCCCCGCGGACGAGAGCGGCGGCAGCATGGAGGCCCTCGGGGAGAGGGCACCCTCGACGGCGCGGCCCCTGCTGCGTCTGCTGGGCGCGGAGGGGCGTTTGGCGTCCTGCGGCGGGCAGGGGGAGGCGGTTTGCTGGCCGGCCGGCATGGGCCGCGTCTCGGGCACCGTCCTGGCGGACGAGGAGTCGGAGCGCGACAGCGTCCACACGGGCGAGTCGCACGAGGGGGCCGAGGAACTGCAGGTGGAGCTGGCCCAGCTCTCGACCGAGCAGCTGCTGGCCCTGGTGGAGGAGAACAGGTGCGGCCGCCGCTGGCAGGGGAGGAAGGGGCGGCTCGGTCGGTGCCCGGACGCCGCCGAGAAAGGGGAGCGCGAGGCCGCCTTTGCTCGAACTGGAGCTCGTTAGAGCCACGGCCGCTCCCTGCTCGAGCCCTCCGAGCCCCCTGGGGGACGTGTTCTTGGGTGGGGCGAGGGAGTCCCAGCATCTCCCCCCTCAAGGTGTGAAGGCTGCCCTGGCTGCCCTGCTACAGGCTCCTCTGCTGGGCAGCAGCCGTTTCAGGAGCCGGGGCGAGGGAAAAAGGAGCGTCAATCATAGTGCAGAAAGTGGGGAAGGTCAGGATCTAGCACTCCAGATGAATTCAAATCACCGGGACCTGATGGGTTAGTTCCCAGAGGACTGAAGGAACTGGCAGATGTTATCTCAGAACCATTGCACCCCATATATTTCAAGGATCCTGGACAGTGGTGGGTTGCAGGCGGTATACCCCGTACCGGAGCCTGCCTGGAGCACCGGATACCATTCTGGTACAGTGCTCCGGAGGGCCCACCCATCCACCTGAGCTCCTTACTGGTCTTTTAAGTCTTCGGCGCTTCCGCGAACGCGCATGGTGAGTACAGCGCCTGCACAACACTGCTGAGCAGCTGAAGCGTCACAGAGGCTTGCGGAGACGCTAAGATGTGCACGTCCATGTGTATGCCGCCGGGCCTGGGATCCGGAACCCACCACTGATCCTGGAGCACCTGGGAATTACCTGAGGACTGGAAAAGAGCTGCTGGGGTTCCCATCATCAAAAAGAAAAAGAAAAACAGCAGGGGAAACAAATGCAAGAAACTATAAGATCTATCAGCCTGACATCAATACTTGGGAAGACCTTTGAAAACATAATCAAGCAACAGATCTGCAAATACCTAGAAAGAAGCAAGGTTATAACCAGTAGCCAATATGGTTTGTCAAAAATAAATCATACCAAACAAATCTTAACACATTCTTTGACAAAATGACTACATTAGTGGACCAGCAAAATGCTGTGGACATAGTATACTTAGATTTCATTAAGGCTTTTGGCAAAGTAGAAAAATGTGGGATAGACAGTATCACCACCAGATGGATTTGTAACTGGCTGATAAACTGTACTCAACAAGTAGTCCTTAATGGTACGACATCTACATGGAGGAAAATAAGCAATGGGGTACCACAAGGTTCCAAATATCTTTATAAATGACTTAGATGAGGGAATAGAAGAGGAACGCATCAAATTTGCAGATGACACAAAGCTGGCTGGGATAGCCAACACCCCAGAAGATATATTCAAGATCCAGAAGGATCTTGACAGATTTGAATAGTGGGCTCTGTCTAGCAAAATGAAATTCAATGTAGAGAAAAATAAGGTTTTACACATAGGCAAGAAAAAACATATAGGTAAAGATTAGGTGAAACTTAGTTCAATAGTGGTAACTGAAAAGGATTTTGGAGTCCTTGTGCACAGTCACCTAAATATGAGCCAGCAGTGTGCTGCAGCTGCCAAAAAAACTAATACAATCCTAGGTTGCATTAACAGAGATAGAATCAAAATCATGTGACATATTAGTACCACTTTATAAGGACTTGGTGAGACCACATTTAGAATAATGTATCCAGTTTTGGTCAACGCAACATATAAAAAATGTTGAGACTCCACAGAGTACAGAGAAGAGCAACAAAGAAGGCTAAAA